ATTTTTTTCTATTTAATAATATTTATTTCAAACTTGCAAGTTGAGTTAAAAGTTATGGTAATAAATTCATTTTTTTTTTATTAAAACTTTCACTTTAAAGAACAAAAAGAAGTAGGTTCAAAATGATTACTTTTAACATATTAAAAATCAATAATAATTTGAAAATAATTAATTATAAAAATTATATAATATATAATTAAAATAATTACTAATCTGGATATAATTAAGGAAATAGGAGTTGATGTTGGGTTGGGTTGGTTACATTTTTAACTTTATAATGCTATAACTCATTGAAAAGTGTACGAATCAACACAATTTTTTTATGAGAAATAATATTTTTTAATAATCCCTTTTTCATTCGACATACTTTATCTTAATCAGGGTATTAATAAGAAACTAGCAGATAATGTAGCTTTTGTAATTATCCACCAATTTCTTAAAATTAAACACTATCTACTGATTTGCATCGAAGCGTTTCTTATGATAGTGATTTTAATCACTGTCAGATTAAATCTATACTGGACCCAACTATGCAACATCCCCACTATGCCGCGACCCCACTGTGCTGGGTTTTTTTTTTTAAAGTTAGCTTGTTAAAAACCATTATTATCTCTTTATTGTCTCCATCAATTGACAAATTTAATTAAAGTCAACTAATAAGATGTAACTAAAAAAAAAACATTAAAACTAAAATTATTCATAAAAACAATAATACTTATATTATGTACTTTAAATTGTTTACACAATAATATAAATTTTATTATTTAAGCTACAGAAAAACCAATTTTACCCATATAATGTTAAAATGATAACCTTTTGTAATTAGTATTTTATAAGAGTTTACAAAGAAAAAATAAAATATTATAATCATTCAAAATATTAAATTTTTTAATAATAAGAAAAACTATTATAGTTAAAACCATCATTTAACTAATAAAATCAACAATTATCAGGTTTATAATTTCATAAAAATGTCTTAAAATCATTATTGCAACACAATTAAAAACAAAAATTTATAGAAAAATACACCATAAAAAATATTTAGTAAAATAGAGGTATACATTAATTATAATATATAGTGTATATGACTACAAGAAAAAATTTCTTTGTAGTATATTAAATGCATAATATTGTAATGGAGCTAAATATAAATTTAAATAAATGATAAAATTTTCATTATTTTTAATAGTTGAATCACAATAATAAAAACAAATTTTGAACTTACAATATATTAGAACTAAACAAGCTTTTGTCATTTTCTATTAATTAAACAATATAATATTTGCATAAATGGTAACTTTTTATTATGATTTTAATTATTTATGTATCGCCAGTTATTTCTCATTAGCTGACAAAATCTGCATGAATCAAATAACAATTAAAGTTTTTTTTATAAATATAAATACAAACATATTGCCAAGTATTTTACATTTTTACAACTATTTTACAAAGAAGGTAATTTTAGTAACTAAGTACATTCATTATCGCTAAAATTCTAACTAAAAATATACACATTTCCATGGTAAAATATTTTTTGTTGATACAATATTTTTAAATTATTATATATTAAAATACTTCCTAAAAAATAAATCTTGTAACAAAGTATATTATTTTCATTGAATGTATGTGTACTTTATACCACAACCAGTGCACTGTTAAACATGAAATAATGATATAATACTTTTACATAATCAACATTACTTAATATTCAAAAACTAATTTACATTTATTTATTCGAAAAATAGTATAAAAAAAAACTCAAAAAAAAAAAAAAAGAAGAAGAAATTTACATTAAAATATGAATACTTGTAATAAAAAGACTATTAGTTCACAAAAAAATTGTATTTGAAAAGATATAACTGAGGAATGTTTTGTAAAATCCTATGTAAAAAATTTAAAAAAACAATAGAATAACTAAACAAGATTTTCGATATTATTGGAAATAAGTCCTTTATATATTTATATAATTGTAGTTTTTCTTTATAGTACTACACAGCATATAATCTATGTACATGTTTTAAAAATTTTAATCATAAAAATGTTAGAACCATTAATTAAAAAATAATAATTTAATTTTTCATTCTTGAGCAAAACCTTCAGTTTCCTCAATAGCATAGTTAAGTTTTTCAACTAGTTGGTCATAGCTTTTATATGGTGGTAAGTCTAAGCGATTGAAACATGTATGTGATCGGGGGAGCCATGTTTCCTTACCAACTTTTTCAATGCAAAATCTTTGTGCACCATTACTTCCTAAAATTAAAATAAATTAAACTACTATTTATAAATTTACCAAAATAAAACTATAGTTTTTTTAATTCAAACATAAAATAATTTACCCATTAACTCAGCAAAACCTCCTACGGGTACTCTACAAGTTCCAGTTACAAATTGAAGAAGTCGTGCACGTTTTTCATTATCAGCTTGTTTTACAAACTTAACCATAAAAAAATTTGATCATCAATTAATATTTGAAATATTTTGTACGTAAAAAAATTAACAAAATTATAATCAAGCCAAAAATGTTTATTAAACAAATATAAAAATATAATTTACCTGCCAAAACCAATTGATTTGTTTACTGTTTCTATTGTAATGTCTGTAAATTGTATGTTGTTGCCAATCGTCAACATCAATTTCTTGCATACCACAAAGCATAAGCTCAAGTTCACGTTCATCAAAATACTTCAGCCATTCTAAAGCTACAACTTCATTAAACCCATCAAGTAAAGCCTGAGTTTGTTCTTCAATTCCACGAGTCATACGCCATTCAGTCATTAGCCTTATGTACTCATCTTTATTTTGGTCATTAACTTTGACTTTATCACCATTTTCTATTAGTTCATGATGAACAACTTGTCCAAGTACTTCAAAATCTACACCAAAATACATTTCTATGTCACTTTCTTCTAAATTATTATCCCGCACCCAAACTAGTGAATTATAGAATTCTGGATCAATTGACTCTATATCTTTCATAGTTAGCTTTTTGTTTAACATTCTTTTGTAAAATGGCATAGTAAACCCAGAATAAATAAAACGTCCATGATACAAAGCCTAAAAGTACATACATAAATATAAATGTATTTTTTTAATGTTTAAAAATGTTTTATTATATTATTGTTAGTCAAATATTGTATTTATTTAATATACATACCATAGCAATAAAACGACCAATAAATTTAAAATACAATAAATGATCTGGATTAACATATGATGCTGGATTTATTTGTAAACTGTAATTATTTTTATTAGCATACTCAAAAAGACAATACATTGGATTAAGAACTTCATGTGATAGAAGAAAAAACCATTCTCTAAAAAAAATATTTGAAACATTCAAGTTTGTAAATAAAGTTTATTTTATTTTAAATAAATGCACCCATACCTTGAAACACCACCATAATCTAACCCTTCTTCTCCTCGGAATACTATGTATAAACGTTTTCTCATTTCATATGCAGCAGACCTCATAATTTGATGATATGAGTCTTCAAATAATGTTTGCCTTGATACTGTTATTTTAATGTGGCTAGATATTGCATTACTTTGACATAAATAACGAAATTGACTAAGCTTCCAACGAAAAGATCGTTCGTATGCAGCTGGAACGCCATAAGGACCAGTGGTACTAAAAGATAAATAAAAGAAATGAACAATTAAATCTTCATTAACTGTAAGTATATATTTAAAAAACTTTACCATTGAATAGCAGAAACGTTAGTACGAGGGTCTTCAAAAGTAGTTGTATGAGTATTATGATCTACAAAGTAACGAACACCATCTGTAGTTCTTCTAACTTCCCAACCAGTGGGAAGATCTGAATTGTCAATAATTAGTTCAGTCCTATTTATGATTAAATTATTAGTGATAGAAAATCAAATATTAAATGTTAATTATTTTTACCCTTGTGTACGTGGATCTTCCCATTGAGTAATTCGACTTTTGTGATTCACAAAATAACATCTTCCATCAGGTTGTACCCGTTTTTCCCACCCGTTTGGTAACTGACCCATTCTGTCATCATCTTCAGTAGTTGGATTAGCTGGCATACCTGAAGTTTGTCTATTATTTGGACCTGATCCAGTTCCTAATGCATGCTAAAAATATAAAAAAATTTAATATTAGTTAATTTTATGTAAAATTAAGTATACAAAAAAAAAAAACTAAAAATACTTGTGGATAAAGGAATCTTTGATTTCCTTGTTGAACTACATGAGCACGTTCACCTTGCCAGTGTTGGTAATGCTGCAAACGTTCTGTATTAGGTCGTTGCCAAGTTGTGGTTCTAGTGTTATGATCTACATAATAAATCCGACCTCGGTTATCTCTTCTTAATTCCCAACCAGGTGGTAAAGGTTGAGGTCTTTCCCAAGAAGTTGATTTTGTATTATGGTCAACATAATACTGCCGTCCAAAGGCATCAAATCTCATTTCCCATCTATTAATTAAAAAAAAAACGGTTATTTCAGATGAAAAAATTATATTAGTTCTTACAGATTCAAATTTATAATTTAATTATATTAGTTACCCTGAAGGTAATGGTTCTTCTACTGGCAACGATAAAGCACCATTTTGATGATGAACTGTAATTGATGACTCCACAGTAGGTGTGTGTATTGTTGTAATAGTAGGTGTACGAACATTATTGTTAGTTGATTGTGTAATCAAGTGACTAGTAAGCAAATTTGGATCTAAAAATCAGTTAATTAAAAAAATAATAATAATATTTTAATATTATTTTAAATACCCGTTGTTGTTTCAGGGGTTGTAACTGCAACTGTTGTTCGATTACGAGCCCTTACTCCACAACTAAAATCACTTTCAGACAATCCTATAAACAGATAATAAATTATAAATATTGAAAAATAATACAATTTTATTATATAAATAATACTTGGTGCACTGCTTGTACTAGTACTAGGATCCCTGGAAGGCATTAATACTTGTGACATATCAATTTGAAACCCATGAAGCATTGTTATTAGTTCACCAACTTTAACAAAATTATTGGTAGATGATGAACTAGATGCTAGATCATGATGACGAGTTTTCATTAAATCTATAGTCAACTCTAAATTATCACAGATACCATTGTAATGACTCAATATGTCATAAAGGCTTATACTTTTTTCAGCAATAAGTACATCTTTTTGAAATTTGCAATAGTCTAGTACACGATAATGTAAAATTGAATATGGAGTTACTAAACTGTTAAAAAAATTTTATCAATACACAATATTTGTAACATAAAAGAAATAGAAGTAAATTATTTGTCAGTAAACTTACACCGTAAACTCTTCATTCCACTTAGGTTGATATGTATTTTTAATTACTTCTGTTTTATGCCTTTTAAAATCATCAACACTAAATTCAACATAAGGATGTGGTTTGATTAACCCTCCACTGTTTTTTAAATGTGCGCATTCAACTAAAAATAAAAATAAAATTATAGTTAAAACTATATAACCCTATATAAAATGTTTATATAGATAAACATTAAATTACTATATGTACTGAGTACATTTTACATTTCATTTAGCTCTAAAGTAGATTTTAATTTTATTATCTAGTAGCACAACTAGCAGGACAGATGAGAAAATGATACTTTCGAATCTCCCAAGAATTCTTTTTACTATAATAATGTTATCAATTATACATTACATTTATTTTTACTAAAAAAAAAATCATCATTCAATTTTAAAAAGGCAGTTTTAAGTTTATAAAGCTCTATTTAAAATACCCACATTTATGCCACTAAAATCAAGTAGTACTACTGTAAAATGCAATTCAATAAACAGCCTAATAAAAAAAAATACATACACACACATATACAGGGTGTTCAGTAAGTCAGGAAACGGGTTTCTATTGTTCTCATTGTTTGTAACAATGAGAACAATACTGAACACCCTGTATATATGTGTGTGTGTATATTTTATATATATATATATATATTATTTTATAGCAATATATATATTTTTTAATTAATTTTCAGTTTTGAAGTACATTAGAAGCACATTTTTATTTGTCTCTAATAAGAAAAAATAAAATAAATATTATATTTATTTTTCAAAATGTTGAAATAGCTATTATTAACCTTATTCTTACAAAAAATGTTGATGGGCCAATATTAACTTTAGGATAAGTACTTATTGAGTTACAAGTATTTTAATACATAGACTGAGTACGTTACACAGCGAGCATGCACTATAAATATACACCAGTACAAGTTGTGATTAAACAAACCCATGCTAGCATGTAGTGAAGGTACGTGGACTCTTATTGGTGTATGTAAATGCCCAAGCGTTCTATACTCACTCTATGTATTAAAATGCTTTTAGCTTAATGAATTATTGTCCTAGGATTGTTATCAACCTATCAACATTTTTTATAAGAGGGCTAAAAATTACTAAAAAAAATTTTATTTTTTCTTATTAGTAATATACAGGGTGGCCCACCACTCACTGACAATTTAAATAACTTTTGATCCAGCTAATATTTTTAGCTGATTTTTTTTTTAAACATTAGTTAGACGTTAGGTATATAGCTATATCTCAATAATTAATTTTTTTACATTTTATTAAAAATATTAATTATTTTTAAATTTTAAATAAAATGTAAAAAAAAAATCTAAGATAGCTATTTTGTAGAGTAGAATTTAAGAAAAATTTTAGTAAAAAAATATCTTATTAATATTCAGTAGTAAATATTCTGTAGCGTTTTGAAGTTTGTGAAAATTTGAATTTTCATGTACTATTTTACGGTATTAAACATTGAAATACGTATTGAGAAAAGGACAGAAGAAAACGCTATCTTTTCAATATACTTTTGAATGAGAGTGATAAGTAATAATTGCCTTATCTAATTTCTTATCATGGTATTTATGCCAAGTTTGTAATGTATACACACTATCATCATATGTATACACAGTAATCATGAAAAGATAGCGTTTTCTTCTGTCCTTTTCTCAATACGTATTTCAATGTTTAATACCGTAAAATAGTACATGAAAATTCAAATTTTCACAAACTTCAAAACGCTACAGAATATTTACTACTGAATATTAATAAGATATTTTTTTACTAAAATTTTTCTTAAATTCTACTCTACAAAATAGCTATCTTAGATTTTTTTTTTACATTTTATTTAAAATTTAAAAATAATTAATATTTTTAATAAAATGTAAAAAAATTAATTATTGAGATATAGCTATAGACCTAACGTATAACTATTATTTAAAAAAAAAATCAACTAAAAATATTAACTGGATCAAAAGTTATTTAAGTTGTCAGTGAGTGGTGGACTACCCTGTATTATAAAAAAAAAATAAACGCATCATGGTAAAATTAATACCTTCTCAGCTTTGCATCGAAGCTAAAATATGTCTTAAATATAGTCTAAAAAATTAATAAGTATTTTTTTTAAAATGTCAATATTATAAATGTATCAAAAGTTATAAGTGTTGTGAGTTAGGTCTAAGACACTATATATGTTAATAATATCAAAACTATTGGTGCAATCATAGACATACATATATGTGTCTATGATTAAGATATGTATATACAAACGTATATATTTAATATAGGATAATTGATTTATGTTAAACAGTAGATTTTTTCCGAAATAATAATTTTAAAAATTTTTTTCTTATTTAGGTAGTATTTATTTCTCGAATTTAAAATGGTTAAATACTTTTTATGTCCTTCCCTTGTTCTTTATAAGGGTATCAACTATTTTTTTTTTTAATAGCAAATAAATAGAAAATGATCTGAATAAGAGAATGGTTTATGGTTTATAACAACTTTTGAACCAGGATTTCACAAGTAACGAATATTTTAAAATGAAGTAAATGAAAATTAGGAAATAAAACAAACAAATCAAGTATAAGACTGATTAAATTACTATTAAAATGTTAATTAATAATTAATTATAAATTCATAATATTTAATGAATGAATTACTTTATAATGTAAGTATAGGATAAGACAAAAATTAGAGTAATTTATATCATTAGACATTTCTAAGCCATTCCTTTTCATACCCACACATTTATATACTCACACTTAAATAGTGGTTCGATATATATTTTCGATTAGATATACAGAGTGATCGAAATCTGGTAAAACACTTATTTTCTCAGAAACTATTGATTATTTAAAATTTTTGTAAAAAGAAAAATTATTAAGTTTATAAAACTCTACAATAATATGAAGTTAAATAATTTTATTTTTATCCCTTCAGGGATAAAAATGTTTATTTATAATTTTTTGAAATGGGAACCACTATTTTTTATTTGATATGATAGAAAAAAATTACAAACAATTTTGTTTTTATAATTTTTTTTATCCGAACAACCGTTTACGTTTTATAATTGTTTAAAGATTTTGACTTCCAGAAAAAATATTGTCATTTATTATGTTTTATAATATCGGTGGCAGTGCAACCGGTATTTTTGTTAGATCCTTTAGTCTTACAAAACCNTGTTTTATAATATTGGTGGCAGTGCAACCGGTATTTTTGTTAGATCCTTTAGTCTTACAAAACCATAGACTTAGCTATAAATAATACACCAACAACCCGGTTTGAATCTATATCTAAGTTTTTATCCTTGAAGGGACGAAAAAAATAATGGTTTGACTACATATTATTGTAGAGTTTTTTGAACTTGATATTTTTTCTCTATAATAATATTTAAAATTCTCATTATTTTCTCAGAAAATGAGTGTTTTACCAGATTTCAATCACCCTGTATACTTAATTACATCATTTTTTAGAAATAAGATATTTAAATATGTACATTTTCTTTAAAAACCAAAAAAGTTTATACCTTAATAAGCCACAAGGGATAAACCTAAAAACACCTAATAAATGTTAGAGAATTATATGCAACCATTAAAATTCTGAATACATGTAAATATTATATCAACCAAAAATATATTTTTTATTCAATGGTTCAAATCAGAAGTAAATACCCATTAAAATTTGAGCTTTTATATCTCCCATATAAATAGCCTAAAAAATCATGTAATACCTTTTTTTTTAAACTATTTTTTTCGTACATTCAAATGTTATAACTTAATAAAAAAAATTTATTTATTTACTTTTATGAATTTTGTAAAATAATACAATTAACAATTTGATTTTCAACAATACAATTTATCATAATTTTAAATATTTTTTTAGAATGTAAATTGTAAAAAAAAAAAAAATAACATATGTTTCTTAAGCTAAATATTTAAAATATACAAGAATATATGTTTTAAAATAGTAAGTATTATTATAAAATAATTAATTTTTTAAATCAAAAACTCATAAATCCCTACTTATATTGAACAGCTCAAAATTTGTAAAATAAAAAAGTAGAATTGTATAAGTATAGATACAGAATAAAATTGGTACTAACTCAATTAGTTTTACCTATAATTCTTTGATATTTGAACAAAGAGTTCTAAATTAAAATAAAAAGCAAAACTCAGGAATCAAAATAAAAATTTTATTTACAATAAAATGCCCATTTTTTAAAATGTATAATGGCTGATAAAATTGTGTTATGACTAAAAGTTATATAATGAACAATAAAAATGTATAGTTTTGTTACAATATTGTATGAGGGAACTAATTTATTAAGTTTATGTAGTTAGGATTTTTAACTCAAGCATCATAGAATTAAAACAAAAACAACTTTACCAACTTACCTAAAACTCAGCAACATAAAATCTAAAAATATGTCTTCATAGATAATAGTTAACAAAACTTAACTTTTTAATGATAACCATGAATATAAAAAAACAAATAAACATTTTTATAATAAGATTTATAAAAAATGTACAAATAATCAATTAACCTCAAAACATTTATTTAGCTACAAATTTTTAAACTATATTTTGGGCTGTATAAGAAAAATTCTTTAAAAACCTTTAAGTCAATTCAGTATAATATTACTATTTATTTAACTAAAGAATTATTAATCGGAAAATAATAAAAGTTTGCAAATTACTTACTGGTTACAGTTAGTTGAAAAAAATTTTGATTTGAAGGAGATATTACTCTGCCATTAGTATTTTCAACTATTGAACACATAATGATTAAGTTTTATTATTAATGAACTATTTTTTGCTTCATTAGGTAATCTAAAACATAAATAAGTTTTTTTTATTACAAAAAAAAAATAATTTTATACAATTGTTTTAAATATTAATCAGTAATTTTATTTCAAATGTAAATATATTTTAGAATATTAATAAAGTTGTATAATCAAATAAAGCAATATAACTTTAAATTTCAACCTTAGAGGTTCATAAATAGAATTGGACATCGATTTCAAATTTATTCAACAAAATGAAAAACAAATTATTTTTTAATTATTGGTAAAAACTACAACAGTGTTAAAAAATTGTTGAACTTCATGTAATTATATTCTATGAAAAGCAATCATTTTTGGGTAAAAAAAATTTAGAATTGCTATGACATTGTCTATATTAAATTTATAATAATAAAGTAATTCTACAAAAATTCTTTTGAATATTTCAGCTTTATTAAAAAAAATTAAGTTTAGAGATCTGTTTGAAGAGGCTAAACTAATTAAAAAATATTAATAAGTTTCCACAAAAAGCAGACAATATTGGCAGTACCAAAATGTTTATTGGCCAAATGTAATAAATGTATTATCATATTAATGATAAAAACCAGTACTAGACTACTATACATCTATCATGCAGTTATCAGAATAAAATCAATGAAATTTTATTTTAATTTGGACTGTTTTTGTGAGAAACTGGCATTTCAATATTTTTTTTTAGGTAATTCATTAATTTATTTGAAAATTTTGCAATGTGTTTATCGGTATCACTTTTGTTTCCACGGGTAATTTAGTAATTTTTTTTTACAGTGATTTAAATTTTAAAAGTCCAATTTATTACCAGATTAAAATATTTTAATTTTTAGCTTTCCTAAAACTTTACATTTATTACTTGACCGACTGCTTTCAAAAAAACTATCCATGATTTTTCTATCATTTTCAGTGTTGTAACTACTAAGTTGGGGGGCTTATTCCAAAAGCTACATGATCTACTAGTTCCTTATTAATATCCTGATTAAGATAAAGTATGTCGAATGAAAAAGGGATTCTTAAAAAATATTATCTCTCATAAAAAAATTGTGTTGATCCATACACTTTTCAATAAGTTATAGCATTATAAAGTTAAAAATACAAAAAATAAAATCGAGAATTATCACACAAAAAAGTATTCGGTAGTCATTTTCACCGTGAAGACAAAATAAAGTCCGAAATTTTTTTTTACCATTACAAAGTATATTACATTAGCTTTAATTTAAGATAAATATAAAAGTGTCAGACCTTCCGGAACACTTTCAAAAGTTAAGTTGAAAAAGTTCTACTTTCTATATGCATTTTTGTGTTTTGAATCCCCCCTGTATTAAGGGAAATGGTCCGATTTAAAAAAAAAGTATGTCGAATGAAAGATCTATATAAATACTACTTCTCATAAAGAAATTGTAATGATCCATACATTTTTCAAAAAGTTATAGCATAATAAAGTTAAAAATGGAAAATACAAAATCGAAAATTTTCACACAAAAATAGCATTCGGTAGCCATTTTCACCATGAAGATAAGATAAAGTCCGAAATTTTTTTTTTTCATGATAAAGCATATTACATTAGCTTTAATTTAAGATATATATAAAAGTGTCAGACCTTCCGGAACATTTTCAAAATTTAAGTTAAAAAAATTAATTTTTTGTGAAAAAGTTGTCATTTTAAATCCCCCCTTGTGGGCAGGTTAAGGGTTAAATTTATGAAAAAAATATACCAAATGAAAGGTAATGATATTATGCATCTATATAAAAAAGAATTATATTGATATGTTTATTTTTGAAAAAGTTATGGCACTTTTAAGTAAAAAAAATTGAAAAAATTTCGAAAATTAGCGATTTTTAAATTTGTAATTTTTTTGGAGGTTTCCCCCTTTTACGGGGAACGAGGGAATTTTTTTCAATTTTTAAGGGTAATGTCTTCGACTAGATACGATTTGTGATCTTTTGACGTATCATTGAAAGAAATCGGTTCGGTGAGAGCTGAGAAAAAGTGGTCACAGACACAAAAAAAAAAACACATCTTAGTAAAACCAATACCTTCTCAGCTTCGCATCGAAGCTAAAATTAATGTTTTTATTTTTTATAATAGACAAGTATTTCATTATAAAATAGCCAACACCTACATCTCTATTTTATAAACACATAAAAAAAATTAAGCACTAATTTTAATTTTTTTTTATTTTATTAAATATTTAAAAATTAAATCATATAAATTTCGAGAATAAAAACTTTAAAAATTGTAAGTCAATTTAATTAAAATTTGTTTAGTTTTGCAATATAGATACTTCAATTAAAAAAATGAAATATTAGTCTTTAATCTAAATACATTGATGCATAATACATATATATTTACAAATAATTCTAATAAATAAACTTGCTATTAAAAATTTGAAATATATAGATGTATATATTTATATATATATCAAAATTTAATTTTACAAAAATTGTAGTTACATAAACATTAGGGATTTAATTTACAAAAATCTAATTATTAATTAAATTAGAATGAGAAGAAATTTTAAAGAAAAATTCAAAGTACAATATATAATGAACACTTCATTTTTGCAGAAAGTAGTTTTATAAACTTAATGAACAATCAATAGAAATCCATATCAATATTATAATGGCAATTAAAAAAATATAAAATAATTTAAAATCAATATCCTGATAGCAATAAACCACTTAAAATAAATCCATTTGAAGGTCATTTAATAAGTTAATAATAAATAACATATATTAACTTAAATATATATAAATATTTAACAACAAAAAAATTTCCAAGAACACGCATTTAAATTTTGACTTTTTAAGAAAAAAACAAATATTTTTTTTTTTTTTTGTATCTAAAATAAAAATAGCAATAAATAATTTATACTAAATTTAAGAGTTAATCATTAGGTTGGACAAAATATATTACAAATACTATTTTTGTATATATGGCACAACTAGGAAGACTAAGGAATCTTAGCCTAAGCAGTAAAAGAATTAACACCCCAAAATTTTGGAAAATTATATTTTTAAAAAAATATATTTAATTGGATGGGGGACATTAGTTAAGTTTTTAAAAATATAATATTTAATAAAAACATAATCTAATTATGCCTTTATTTGCATATTTAACTTACTAACTTAACTTGTATGTACAACATGAATGTACAAAATTATTATTATGTTCATTCCATCATATATGTGTATTCTAGTATATAAATATTTCTTATAACTTTATTCTATAATCAAATTATTTAGATAATTTGTTACAAATATATTAAACAATCATTAGACAAAAAAAATTGCTCTATAATAATTCTTTTAATTCTCTATTAACCTCATTTTCTTCTTCCTCGCCATAATCCCAACTACTTGGGGTCAGCCACCCTTATCCTAAACTTTCACTTGACACGATCTCCCACATCATCTGCGTTCACATCTCTTAATTCTCTATTAAACTACCAATCAAATTATATTTTCTAAATCATATTTATAAAGTTACATTTTTTTAAGGTATAGTAGTAATAAATCCCAAAATATTTATACATGTTCAATAAATTCATTAAAATATTATACTTTACCACTAGATAACAATAAAAAAAGATTTTTTCCTACCAGGTAGTTTTAAAATAACTAGATTATTACCAAATAACTAACATCTCATTGTTTCAATTAGACATACTTAAAAACTAAAATAAATTAAAATAAAATATTATTACTCACCAAATTTTTTCTTTTTACAAACTGTTAAACTAAAATTATTGTATTTGTTGGATACATGGAATCAGTAATTTTTCCAGCAATATTTGAGATCAAACATTCTTAAAATCAAAATAGCTTAAATTCAAGTTGACTTTATATTTAAGTTAAGTTGAATTTTAATCATTGAATTGATAATATGACAGCTTTTGTCTACTATAGAAATAAATTATGGATTAAATTTGAAGCCATTAACAGTTCAACAAGTTTCAAAATACTAGTATCTTAAAAAAAACCAGTAAAACTGAGTAAATTACATCATCAGTCGTCGAAAACTAATATTATCACTAAAAAAATAACACAGAACTCATAGAACATATAATTACGCGATTAATGATATATTTCTTTTTTTAAACTATATATTGATGAGTAAATAACAAATAGTTATTTGTTCAACTCAATACTTCAGAACTTATAATTATCAACACTGATAAATTAGCATCATTATCGTTCGTATGCATATGTTTATGTGTGCCAGTAATGTGTTGTTATTTAACTCTTATCACAATTAATGGGCGTGAGTTAAGAGTTTTGCAATCTGCGAGAACCTATTGTAATTTTCGACGATTCGAATCGATTTCTGTGAAACGTAACGCATTTTTTGAACACGTATCTTTATTTGAAAATAAGTGTATTAGAATCATTATACCAATAAAAATTTTACTTTAAAATTAATTAGTAAAAGTATACTTAAGTTAAACGTTTTAATTACGCTTTCCTTCTTAAAGTACTAATATAAATTGTATGTTATGTGCTATATAATTTGCCTATCCTATAAAATTTAAAATATGAAAATAAAACGTTTCGTTAAATTATAATCAAAGGATGTACATTCTTCAAGATTGTATTTTTTATTTAATATTAATTTATATAAATACATATAAGTAGCATTAAGGCATTCCTAATATTGTTATTTAATCTTCTTCTTCCTCGCCTTAATCCCAACTACTTGGATCGGCCAAACTACTTTATTCCCTCTCACCCGTTGTCCCCGCGTACATCTGAGATGGGACAATCCACCTAAGTTTTGTTCAGGATTCCTCATACGACTGGCAGTATTCTTAGCCCCTATCCACAAGGAAAGTAATAATCATTACTGTCTACATTTAATTTTGTAATTTATACCTCATTATTTGAATATAACAAATCAAAAATAGTTGGATCATATACAAATAATACGCAAGGTATATTCCACTTAAGCCCAATAAATAAATTTAAAAAAATAGTACTTTATTAATAATTAAACTCCACAATTTCTGATCCAATTTAAAAATCTATACAGGCTAAATTTATATTGCAATACTTACCTTAAGAAAGTCTTTACTAATAACGTATGGTATTACCCAAGATTTTAAGATATAACGCAAATTTTTATAAAATATACGTGTATATTTAAAGTATAGCTTTTTTAGGAAATTGTAATTTCATATAACAAGTGAATTATTATTTTAATATATTTAAATATTATCATTCAATATATTTTTCGAACTGCATTTTATTAACTTATTAACATTAAGAAAACTCCTAGTTAGAGACCAGTTGTTATAACTTTCACAATGCTTGAGGTTCATAGAAATAAAAATAATCATCAAAGTAATATTTATTTTAATAAAATTATAAACAATTTTTTTTCGAATCTAAAAGTGAAATCATAATTAATTTTTTTAAGTTTGTAATTTAATGATTAATTTCTGTTTCCATAAGTCCACAATTTTTAAGCTTATTTTTTGAAAAAATTGGTTTTGTACTTTTTTATTAATTTAATAAATACATAAGTTTCTTACGAACGCGGAGGCAAATGTCTTAAGGCACCACACATTTGAGGGGTGCAAAAAAAAATTAAAAAATTTTTTTGCATAAAAATGTATTTTTTTTAAAAATATATTAATTAGGGGAGTCAAATATATAATATATTTAATGTAAAGAAAAAAATTTAGCATTTTTTTTATATAGAAACTAATGCAACGAATTCCATATAACATTCATCATTGAAACTCTATATTACTTTGATAATAACAATAATTTTTTTTAATTTGACAGAATATATTTATTTTAAAGCATAGAATTAGTAGAAGTATTGAAGAGGAGAAAAGTTAACATTTGTTGTAAAAAAAGCAATCTAAAGTATAGCAGAAGAGCAAAAGGAGAAAAGATTGAATGAAGTATAAAATGAAGCCAAGTGTGCAGTAAAGCAAAGTTAAAGAAGTATGATCAATTGTATGATAAGCTAGGAACAAAGGAAGGCGAGAAAGAAAGCTATAGACTTGCAAAGATAAGAGAGAAAAGGTCTAAAGATTATCATTATATAAGGTGTATAAAAAGTGTTGATAATAAGGTTCTTTCGAGTGATGGTGATGTGAAAAAAAGGTGGAAAGAGTATTTTGAAAAATTATTGAATGAGGAGTACCCAAAAGTAACGTTATAGGATATCTCGTGGAATGAGGGACTGGTAGATTTAATTAGTGAGAAAGAGGTATGGGAGGCTGTGGCATCAATGAAAAAGAATAAAGCAGTAGCACCAGATGAAGTGCCAGTAAAAGTATGGAAAATATTAGACGGTGTTGGCATAAGGTGGTTGAAGGAACTTTTAAATAAAATCTTATTAGAAGGGAAAATACCAAATGAATGGAGGAATAGTATTGTGGTGCCGATATTTAAAGGTAAAGGAGACATAAGGAGTGTGGAAATTATAGAGGCATAAAGTTTATGAGTCATAGTATGAAAATTTGGGAAAAGGTAATAGATATGAGAATACAAATGTAACATCGGTATCTAAAAACCAGTTTGGATTTATGCCTGGTAAGTCATAATTTTGTGTGAGGCAATTAATAGAAAAGTTTAAAGAAAAAAAGAAAAAGCTTTGTATAGTATTTATAAATTTGGAGAAAGTGTATGATAGAGTACTAAGAGAGGTTCTAAAGTGAGGGGCATTAGTGAAAAAAGGAGTTCCGAGAAAGTACATTAATATAATAGAGGATATGTATGATGGCTTTTGTACTAGGGTAAAAAGTATGAGAGGAGTATCAGAAGGTTTTCGGGTAGAGTAGGAGTGCATCAGGATTCTGCTTTAAGCACATATTTATAGTGACTTATAGTACTTTTCTATAGTGACGAATGAAATAACTAGAGAAATACAAGGAGAGTTGCCATGGTGCATGTTGTTTGCTGACGATATAGTGTTAATAGGAAGAATAGGGAGGAAATTAATCAAAGGTTAGAGGTGTGGGGATCAGTTCTTAAAAAAAAGAGTTTAAGAATAAGTAGGAGTAAGACAGAGTATATAGAGTATAGAGTTTGATAAAAGAGGGAGTATAAGTGTAGCGTCAATCGTGGATAAGATGAGAGAAAATAGACTTAGATGGTTTGGTCATGTTATGAGGAGAGAAGAATCGGAAGCTGTAAGAACAGTTGTAGAAATGAATGTTGAAGGAAAAAGAGGTAGAAGAAGACCAAAAAAGAGATGGAGGGATGCTATTGAATGCGATATGAGGACAGCTATGAGCGTTGATGATATGGGAGATCGTGTTAAATGGAAGTTTGGGGTGACCAACCCCAAGTAGTTGGGATTAAGGCGAGGAAAAAGAAGAAGAAGAATATATTTATTTTAAAATAGTTACGCAAATAACCATTATTTAAAACTATGAAATATTTTACAATCAACAAGTAGACAACAATGAAGAAATTTCAGTAAATTATAACAAAAAAAACAAACTTTTTTTCCATCTTTAGTAATTTGGAAGTAATTAAAATTTGGTATTAAAAACCTAGACTCAAAATTTGTGATAACCTGTGTAATGTATACAACTCATTTTAAGGAAACTGAGTTAAATCAGTTTTTAAAGAAGTATCCCTCTTGTCTATTAATAGTAACTATTACATTTTGAAATTTTGTTAATTAATTGTATTGAAAATTTTTTTAATTTATATTAATTCTTAAGACAATAAAAATGTTAAAATAGTTCCTGAAAAATTTTTAAAAGTGCATTTACCTCTTTTGTACGCTAAACAATCTATATATTATTCTTTCATCTATTTTGTTATGTGATTCATGTGTATATTATAAATCAACTTTATAAAATAAAAAAATTATATAATAAAAGAACTTAATTTTTCATATAGTCTTTAGTAACGTTTTTTTAAGTTTTTATTTTAATGTATTAATATAATTGCATTAAATAAATCATTATTTAATAATTTGATAATTTAATATTTGATAATAATTTGATTTTAAAAATAATATACTTTAACAGCATAATTGTTCGTTAATTAATAATTTAAAAAGAAAATTAGACGTTTGACACAATATTATTTTTGAAAAATATGTACTCAATAATCAGAATTTTTAATTTAATTAATACATTGAAAAACAAACAATTTTCAAAGAGGTTGTTCTTGAAAAACTATTTTTCTTTTATGATAGCTACTGATGTTTTCGCAAAAAAAATAGTGAATATTTTTAACATGTTAAAAATGACAGTCACATAAGTAACTTACCAAATCAAATTTTTATAATAACATCTTTGATTTCTTCCAAGTGTATAATATATAAAGCATATTATTTTCAAAAAATAATAAAATTCCAAGTTTCTTGATAAAAGAAAATCAAGGAGTGTTATTCTTTCCAATTATTTTGATTTTGTTCTGGATAGTGTCCAAAAGGGGATGTAATGAATAAAGTTAAATAAACAATAAAAACTTTAAATTTTAAAAGTAAAAAATCATTCTAAAAAAAAATGAAATTTTTGAAAATGCTAAATTGTTTGTTTTATTATTTACATTTTTATACAATTATGGTTTTATCCAAATAATAATAAAAATTAGATTTGGTCATGCAGAGCATATTTTATTAAATTTTGTCTGTTCAAGTTATTCATATGGACAAAGCTTTACTAACCCTGAGGAAAATATAAATTTTAGAAAATTAAAACTACCTAGTACGTAAACAAGAGTCAAAATTAAATTTTTAAGAATACAACTTAATATTTGTTAAATAATGAGTACACTATCTAATGTTCCTGTAACAATGTTTAAAATTATTTATGCAGTTATATAACTTTAAAAATATCTCATTATTAAACACGACATATTTCATTTAGATAAAACTACATTTCATACATTTTCAACTATTTACTTCACAAATTTTATAAATCTTATAATTGACTATTACATAATTACCTTACAATATTAAAATTTGTCTATGCATTTTAAAATTATCAGGTAAATTTTCTAATTCTGTTTAGAACAATATTAATGGAAAAGTATTTATGTTCTATAAAACTGAATAACTATGTAAAAACAATTAAGTTAAGCACAATGGACTAGTCAACAACAAAATTTATTCTAAACAACAACAATATTTTTTGCAATACAATTAAGTGTTTTACAAAACAAGCATCATGATAGTAATGATAAAATGATTAGCATAAAAATAATTATAATATAAATAATATTAGCTGAAAATAATATAAGTCAACATTTACATGTGGGTAAAAAGAAAGGTGCTTACTAATTTAAATAAATACATGACAATTTATTAATTTAATAAGTTATTGGGAATTTGTTTTTGATTCATCCATTAATGTTTGTAATGGTCTGAATGAAAATGAATGATTGCTATTAGAAGAGTCACCACTACTACTACAAATGGATTCAGTGACTAATGTGGCATCCATTGTAGTAGGAACAATACCAGAAACTTGCATTGGTTCAGGTCTAAATTAAATAAAACATGTGATTTTACTTTAGTGCAAAGAATTTTAGACAAAAAAAAAAACATTTGTTTTAATTACCTAGTATTGGTAATAAGTAAACCCCACTTTTTAGTGATTGGTTCATAGTCGTCCATTTCACATTTTCTTTTGACTGGTCCTAAAGCACTAGGTCGCATTGATATAGGACTTAAACTTCTGCTAAAAATGATAATGTGAAATGTTAAAACTAAAGTTTATTTATAAGATTAACTTAATTTAAAATATTGATTTATTTTCTCATATTTTTTTTATATATATTAATTGGTTTACACTACAAGAAAACAATATCAAAAAATTAAAATATTTAAATAAAATTTTATTCATTGATCACAAAAATATTTCATTAGATACTTAAGTCAAATATAAATTACATAAAAATTTAAAAAAAAAAATCAATTACCCAGAAGTAAATGTTTTGCGAGTAGGACTTGGCGATAAATTTGGTTTAAAAAGTGATGGTGATACACAATGCCTCAAAGACCTAGTTGGTGAAGGTGATGATGGAGCTGAAGCCATTGATAGGTTTAAATGTAAAGGATCATATAGACTACTTCTGCTTCCAGGTTGTTTTCCATACTGTCCTTCTACATCAACCTAATTAATATATTAAAAAATTAGATTTAAGTGACAGATGATGTAATGTAAAAATAATATACATATAATATAATATCTATTTTCTGAGATAATTAGTAATTACACACTTAAAAATTTATAAAAAATATTCTTTTTCTTGAAAATGTCAAAATTTGTTTTGATCATGTTATAAAAGAATTGTGCAAAATTTTAGACTACTGAAATATGTTTAACCTGTTTATTGTATTTTTAAACATGATTATAGCACTCATTTATCTTAAATTAAGCAGAACTTTTTATTATAACTTCTATTTGGATTAATTCCCAGTTATTAATTTATAAACATTGATAAGATACTTCTATGAAGAATTTTAAAATGTTATTTTTTGTCATAATGCATTATTAAAATATATTTACTGTTAATAAAAAAAATGTGTGAATCTCAAAAATTATTTTTCCATCACAGTTATATTTAAATTAAATTAATCTGTTTCATGAATGTACGTACATTTACAATGAAAAGTATGGTATAATTAGATTTTATTTATCATTATTATTTTTTCAATTATTTATCTAATTACAAAAATAGTTACAAAATAAAAGTTAAAAAATAATAATCATAATTACAATTTTGTAAAAATAATTACACAAATTTCTAAAATAATATTTTTTATCTGTTTTGGTTCCTGATAAAATCTTTCCTCTTGTTCTTCATTAATGTTATCCAAGTTATCTGTAAATTTTTCCAAATAGAAGTACAGATAATGCAGATTAATGTTCATAGTAAAACCTTAAGTATGATAGTTTTTTCATACAATTAACAATGGCTATTTAATTTTCATTTTTATAAGTTTCTTTAAAATTTCAATTAAATTCTTGAATGAAATCCAAGTATTTTTTTTCAATATTTGTGAAGCAATTTAAAAAGTTATTCTTTATGAAAATTTTTCATAATACATTTTTTTTTTCTGTGTTATTATTATTAGTGTATTCTAATATATAGGTAAAAATTTGAATGACAATTATTTAAAAAGGCATGAATTTAATGTGAAAATAGATTTTTAAATTGTACCAAGAATACCAACCCTATAATGTAAGGCTTCCAATTATACTTATCTATGTCTCTTTAAATGGAGCGATAAGTAAAAATTTAATTGAAAAATGTAAATTCACACATTATATATTAATAACGATTTTTGTTTAACTTCAATGCGTAACAGAGGAAGTATTGTTTTTCTATGATATGTTTTATTAGCTGCGATGTGAAGCTGAGAAGGTATTAATTTTACTATGATGTTTTTTTTTTGTGTCTCTTACCACTTTTTCTCAGCTATCACCGAACCAATTTCTTTCAAAAAAAAATTTCGGACTTTATTTTGTCTTCACAATAAAAATGACAACCGTGTGCTATTTTCATGTTAAAATATTCAATTTTATATTTTAAATTTTTAACTTCATATTTCTATAATTTTTCGAAAGATCTATAGATCAATACAATTTTTTTTATGAGAAATTATATTTATATACCTCTTTCATTTGACTTACTTTTTTTTTTTTAATCGGACCAATTGTTTTATTACAGGGGGGATTCAAAACTTAAAAAGTACATAGAAAATTTTGAAAGTGTAACGGAAATACTGACACTTTTATATATATTTTAAAATAAAGCTTCAGTAATATAATTTATTATGAAAAAAAAATTTCGAACTTTATTTAGTTTTTATAGTAAAACAGATATCAATATTAATAAAAATAAAATTTTTGTAAAAAAATTAGTTTTCATATTTTTAACTTTATAACGCTATAACTTTTTGAAAAATGTATAGATCATTATAATTTGTTTAAGATAAGTACTATTTATATTCTTTTTTTATGCAACATACCTTTTTTTTTTAAATCGGACGACTATTTCGCTTCATATATTTATAAAATATAAATATATATCTATATTCATATATTACATTTATAAATCATAAAACTTAGTAAATATTTATTCATATATAATATTTTTAAATCGAAGAACTACTAATCAAAATATTAATAAGGAAATATGAGATCATGTAGCTTTTGGAATAATCCAATAATTTTTTTAAATTAAACATTATCTACAGATTTGTATTGAAGCGTTTTTTATGACAGTGATATCAATAATGATAGTGTCAGATATCATCTATACCGGACCAAACTATGCCACGTCCCCACTCTGCCGTGTCCTCCCCTCCACTGTGATAGGTTTTTGTTTGTTGTCTCTTGTATGAAATTTTTACTGGATCAATATTGTTCAATTATACACTAAAAGAACTTAAATTAGATGCAATTGAAAAGTAAATTTCAATTTTTAATAAATATTAAAATTTCTATAACTTATTTCTCAGCAAATTCATTTGTATGAAATTTTACATAGATATATTAGAAATATTTACTTTAAATAAAATACTTTATTTAAACATTTGACCCATACTTCAAGTACAGAGTGTTTAATAAAGCCATTTGGCTCATTAAAACTATTTTACATATCAATTTTTGAAAATGTCTTAGATGAGTTCTGTACTTTTAATATATACTAAATTAAAGGTTTTTAAATGTACTTAATAATTTAAAAACATGCATTTCCTTCCATGAGTAATAAGTCATCAAAATCAAAAACCAAGAAATGTAAAATAAATAATTTTTGATTTATAAAATATTTTCTACATCATTTTTTTTAATAAGTATTGTAATCTTTATATAGAATTTAAAAGAAGCTCGAAACTCTAAAATTCCAACAATACTATTTTATTATAACATATTCATATTGAAGCATTTTATTATGATGTTAATCACTCTCACAATTCAATCAATATTGGTATTTACTATACCAGAACCCCACATTGTTAGGCTCCAATTGTAGTTTTCTTTTTGTAACAAATTTAAAATAAAATAAAAATTTATGACAAATACTAATTCTTCAAGAACAGTCTTTAAAAGTGTAATTTGGTGAGTTCAAACAAATTTAGGAGAGTCTACATAAAAATATTACTATTCAATAATATAATTTAGGTTAGTAATTGACAAAATATCCCATAATATTATTTAATAGTTTTGAAAAAACTGTTATAAGCTTTAGTCCCTACTTTTTATATTGACTTAATTTTACTTACTTTTGAAGGTGAGTCTATCATAATAGACAAATCTTCCCATGATTGTGATATTTGCATTGCAGAATGTATTTCTCTTTCATGAGCTACTTCCCTGTTGATTAAGTCAATTGTTTCTTCTTGGCGTAATTGATTAACCCTATGAACTAATTTTGGAGAAGTCTGCAAGATAAAATAATTAAAATATACATTAAATAAATTCAAAATTTGAATATTAGATTTTAACTTTTAACTTTTAATTTGTATGGTTAATTTTGTTTTACCTAATAATATAAATTATACTTAGATCAATAAACATATTGTAAATATAATATTCTTTTTCCTCGCCTTAATCCCAACTACTTGGGGTCGGCCAAATAATATCATATTTATTGTTACTAATTATAATTTATTTATTATTTAATAATATAATAATTATTATATAATTATAATTACTTTCATAAAATAGGAAAAATTAATTATTCATATTTAGTATTAAGAAAGCTATCAACTTTTAATATTTACTAATAATTAAGTTAAATAAAATTATATCTAAGGATAATGAACTATTTTATTTAATACAATACCGGTATAATCTACGTGATAGAGGCTAACTGTTAATCACTTTCATTGTAAACCAAATCTCCTTCTTCTTCTTCCTCGCCTTAATTCCAACTACGTGGGGTCAGCCACCCTAATCCTAAACTTACACTTGACACGATCTCCCACATCATTTACCCTCACATCAGCTGTCCTCAAATAGCATTCAATAACATCTCTTTTTTGGTCTTATTCTACCTCTTTTTCCTTCAACATTCATTTCTATAAATGTTCTTATAGATTCCGATTCTTCTCTCCTCATAACATGACCAAACCATCTACGTCTAATTTCTCTCATCTTATCCACGATTGACGCTACACTTATACTCCCTCTTATATACTCGTTCTCTATTCTATCTTTTCTAGTCACTCCACCCTTCCATCCAAGCATTCAAATCTCTGCTACCCTCATTCTCTGTTCTACTTTTTTATCAACCGCCCAACACTCTGAACTATACATCATAGCTGGCCTTATTACAGTCTTGTAGAATTTATCTTTCAGCCTCATTGGAATTCTTTTATCGCATAAGACGCCAGACGCTCCTCTCAACTTCAACCACCTGCACTTAATTTGAGTCTTACATCCTTGTCAATACCACCACTATTTTGCACAACTGACCCTAAATACTTAAAACTCTCCACCTCTCCAATCACGTCATCGCCTATTGTCACTGACCTCCTCATTTCATCTACCTCGTGTTCTCCTTTATCAAACTCTATACTCTATATACTCTGTCTTACTCCTACTTATTCTTAAACTCTTTTTTTTCTTCTTCTTTTTCCTCGCCTTAATCCCAACTACTTGGGGTTGGTCACCCCAAACTTCCATTTAACACGATCTCCCATATCATCAACGCTCATAGCTGTCCTCATATCGCATTCAATAGCATCCCTCCATCTCTTTTTTGGTCTTCTTCTACCTCTTTTTCCTTCAACATTCATTTCTACAACTGTTCTTACAGCTTCCGATTCTTCTCTCCTCATAACATGACCAAACCATCTAAGTCTATTTTCTCTCATCTTATCCACGATTGACGCTACACTTATACTCCCTCTTTTATCAAACTCTATACTCTATATACTCTGTCTTACTCCTACTTATTCTTAAACTCTTTTTTTTAAGAACTGATCCCCACACCTCTAACCTTTGATTAATTTCCTCCCTATTCTTCCTATTAACACTATATCGTCAGCAAACAACATGCACCATGGCAACTCTCCTTGTATTTCTCTAGTTATTTCATTCGTCACTATAGAAAAGTACTATAAGTCACTATAAATATGTGCTTAAAGCAGAATCCTGATGCACTCCTACTCTACCCGAAAACCTTCTGATACTCCTCTCATACTTTTTACCCTAGTACAAAAGCCATCATACATATCCTCTATTATATTAATGTACTTTCTCGGAACTCCTTTTTTCACTAATGCCCCTCACTTTAGAACCTCTCTTAGTACTCTATCATACACTTTCTCCAAATTTATAAATACTATACAAAGCTTTTTCTTTTTTTCTTTAAACTTTTCTATTAATTGCCTCACACAAAATTATGACTTACCAGGCATAAATCCAAACTGGTTTTTAGATACCGATGTTACATTTGTATTCTCATATCTATTACCTTTTCCCAAATTTTCATACTATGACTCATAAACTTTATGCCTCTATAATTTCCACACTCCTTATGTCTCCTTTACCTTTAAATATCGGCACCACAATACTATTCCTCCATTCATTTGGTATTTTCCCTTCTAATAAGATTTTATTTAAAAGTTCCTTCAACCACCTTATGCCAACACCGTCTAATATTTTCCATACTTTTACTGGCACTTCATCTGGTGCTACTGCTTTATTCTTTTTCATTGATGCCACAGCCTCCCATACCTCTTTCTCACTAATTAAATCTACCAGTCCCTCATTCCACGAGATATCCTATAACGTTACTTTTGGGTACTCCTCATTCAATAATTTTTCAAAATACTCTTTCCACCTTTTTTTCACATCACCATCACTCGAAAGAACCTTATTATCAACACTTTTTATACACCTTATATAATGATAATCTTTAGACCTTTTCTCTCTTATCTTTGCAAGTCTATAGCTTTCTTTCTCGCCTTCCTTTGTTCCTAGCTTATCATACAATTGATCATACTTCTTTAACTTTGCTTTACTGCACACTTGGCTTCATTTTATACTTCATTCAATCTTTTCTCCTTTTGCTCTTCTGCCATACTTTGAACTGCTTTTTCTTACTTTCTATGATTTTTTGAACGTCCTCATCCCACCACCCGGTTTCCTTGTTTTTTGGCATTCTACTCCTACTCTCACCAACAATCTCCTTTGCAGCATTCTTTACACAACTAGCAAATTATTCCACACATCATTTATGTCTCCCTCGACATTCCACACCGTCCTCTTTTTTACAGTCTTTACAAACTCTTTTTCATTTTCCCCTTTCAATTTCCACCAACGAATCTTCGATTTTTCCCTTGTGTTTCTTCTATTTTTATTTATTCTCTTTCCGGTACATCACAACTCCATTACCATTTGTCTATTACCATTTGTTGTGTAGTTACACTTTCGCCTGATATAACTTTACAATCCTTTACTCGCTTTACGCTCTCTCTCTTATACATAAAACAATCAATCTGCGATCTATTCCTCCCACTCTTATATGTTATATAATGCTCTTCCCTCTTTCTAAAATAAGTATTAACCACAGCAAGATCATACAATACTGCAAAATCTAGTATTCTTTCTCCAGCCTCATTCTTCCAACTGAAACCATATCTTCCATGTACTCTTTCATATTCTCTCCTCTCATTACCTACATGTCCATTCATATCTCCACCTATCACCGTCTCCTCATTGCCAGGTACCCCTTACATCACCTAATCCATCTCTCTCCAAAACTCTTCCTTGTTTCTTTCATATTGTAAACCAAATCTACTTATGTAAATAGCTAATTTATTATGATATGTTCTAAATATATATATGCGAATATGGCTAATGGTCTTTGCAGCCACAGCTCCTTTAATTAAATATAGAAAAACAATTATACCATTTTTAATTATAAATTAATAGAAAAAACTATAAGAGTAAATATTGATAAAATAAACTTCAAAAATATAATAGAATTTTGTATTAATCATTTAATAAAATAAGACAATTAGTATTATTAATTCAAAAATTCAACAAGTATGTTTTTTTTATTGTATAGTAAAACCATACAATATTGAATAATTTATATTTTAAAGACTTCCAGAAAACAAATATAGAAACTAAATAGAAAATAAGTTCAAATGTTATAACTTTTAATAAAACAGATTTAATGCTACACAATCAAATGTCTAGTAAAATGTACTTTTATTAAATAAAAATAACATTTTCTTACATTTGGCATTATATTTGGACTCCCACTAGTACTAAATCTGCGAAAGCGAGGTTGAACATTTCTCAAAAACACATTGAATTGATTTTCCCTGCAACAAAATATTAGTTTTAATCTAATAATAAAAATAACATATAAAATTTTTACAACTTCAGAATTTCTAATTAATATTTTAAAAAGAACACTTAAACTATGTAAAGTATATAGAGTAACTAATTCTATTATTACAAAACCAAAAAAATTTATAGATGTTTACTAATGTTGTTAAATTTTCATTTATATAGTCAAAACACATTAAATAATATTTATTATGTACATAAAAATTTCATAACTTCAAAAAATGTGTAAAAATCATTTATATATATATATACATATACACAAAGCGATTATTTTAATGCTAGCCACTTGAGGAATGAGTCCAGCTACTTTTATCATTAAATATTTTTCAGCTTCACTCCTCTTTCCGCCTAGGTATAAAGATGTTAATAACTTCTGAAATACTAGTCCAAAAGTTGTTATCAACCCGTAATTTTCTTAATTAAATAATATTCTGTTATAAGTATGTTAAATATACAAGTATTATTAAAAAAATAAAATTGATACCTTTATAAGTTATAAAAGATGGACCAAAAAATTATTTTATAACAAATAAATAGATTTACATATGTCACAAAAAAAATCAAAAAATAAATTCACAAAAATATTATTAATTTCAAATAAATTAAGTGACTAGTGTTCAAAGAATCACTCTGTATATATACAGAATGCAACAGATCTAACTGAAAACTCTTGTAACTTTTGATAAAATTTCACTGTGATTTTTTTTCTTTGATTCCTGGACAAGTTTAAAACTGTATAAAAAAAGGGTTTTGTTCTTTTTTAACAATAAATTACTAAAGTATAATTGCTTTAACTAATGGTGATTAAAAAAGATTTTATATTACAAAAAATATTAAAAAAGGAAAGAAAAATATATTATTTTTTGCTGAAGCTGAAGTTTTAAATAAAATTTCAATTAAATACCTTGATAATGGAGTGCACTGAGATCCTGAAATTGTATTGTTTATATCATTTATCATAGGAGCACTATTAGATCTCTTTAAACTTGATGGGCAGTCCACATCCATTTTAACAACAGGTCCATCTTTGACAGACATAATGCTATTCACTAAGAATTCACTCACCAAAGGAAGACATAAGATTAACATAAAATTCACAGCTCAGTTTTGTGTTGATGGATTTAACAACCATGCAAGATTATTACAATTGATTGCTAGTTTTAAGACTATCAATAAGGATATTAGACAACGGTAACGAATTTTTAAAATTATTTATTATTATCACAGACTAAAAAGTATTGAAAAGAAATTACTTTTGTATGGCTATTAAGGTAGCCAAATATATATAACTACGTTAATAAAATTAATAGAAAACACCGTAATCGTCTTTATTACTCTCAAAAAACGAGTAATAGTAATTATAATTTTCAAAATGAAATAAATGTTCACAAGCGGAATTATTGTCAAGAGTGGACACCCGACCACTTGATCGTTACACTGATTAGATAAATAAAATCATAGTCGACAAAGGCAACTGAGGACGATGACAGTAGCGTTTCTTCATGATCACATTTTTAAGTTAGAGACAATAATATAAAACAGAATACATCAATTTAAACTTGTCTGTATAGGTAAGTTAAAATTTCAATATTATAACATTAGAAAGAAATGAAAACTAATATAACAAATGATAATTAGCGGTTAAAAAAGTAAAAAAAAATTAATTGTTGTGACAAATAATAAAAAAAAAAATAGCGATTAATGTGTTAATATTTTTATCGCATTTTAATTTTTATCTACAGTCATTTAAAATGGAAAAACATATGTGCTTATGTACGGTGAGGTACGCGCGTTACGTACGCTAAACCAATTCAACTGTATTACATACAGTACGTTACATGTACTCTAACCAACAATCACCATAAATGTTATCGTACTGCCATGATGACTGCTTAACACTTTTTAACCTGAACGCTACACTGCATACAACTGTTCGTGTGACTGCTGTTATCAAATATACCAGAAAAGTTGATAACAATATAACTAATGTAAGCCGTAGAGAAATAAAATAAAAAAATTACCTAATTATAGTGACCCAGGTGTCTAAGTGAAAATATAATTCTTGTTCTTAAGAGAATTTAAATTTAAGTATTTACCAACTCAATATTAATTTCAATTATCCTAAAAATAATCTTTATTTTCATTGTATGTGATTCTGCTAAAAATTTCAAATACTCGTATAAATATTTTGTATTTTGTACATGTACCAAATTTGTTTCTTTTAATTTTTGGAAATATTCTGGTCCGAAAATTTTGCGTTTTTTTAATTATAAATCTTCAGTATTGTTTTTTAATTAAAAAATAACGCACCACCAACTTAGCCATTGTGTAAAATTGGCCATCAAAACCAAAAATTATACAATTTAGTATAAAAATATATATATTTTTATACTAAAGTGTTAAATTCTAGGCGTATTTAATTGATTTTAATTTGTGTAGCTTAAAAAAATTCATCCTCGTAATTTTATAAAAGAAATAGTTTTTTTAAAGCAAAAACCATGATACGCCATATGGGTTTTTCTTTTCAATTTATTGAAAGAAAAATTAAAATTTTTAATTGAACTAAATATTTTTTAAAATCGTACCACAATATTATTATTGTAAGGAGGGTCAGATATAATTTATAGAAAAAATGGTTTGTCTTCTTAACTTAATAGAAATTTTTAATAAGAAATAATTCTTACTTTATAAAGTTTAGCAGGTTTATTCGGTATAAATTTATATGCAACACGAGAATTTGGAACCCGGGTCATTTCTCTTGTGAAGATGGTCATATAACTCGAAATGTGATACATGGTATTAGCCTCTATAGACAGTGGGTATAAATAGAGATATAAAGTTTTGTAGTTATTTTTCAAAATCTGATGTCAATTTTAAAATTTTTCAAGAGAGTAAAAATAAATTTCAATGTCCTTATAGTAAAGTTATTTTAACTTAATTAAGTTATTTGGTTTATTATTTAATAAGTTAAATTAGTGGCCAAAAATGTTTGTTGATAAACAATTTATTAAATAATTTGTTTATATACTGAAATAAAATTCATTTGTTCGAAAAATTTAAAATAATAAAAAAAATACACATATAAATATATTATGTACTTCTTTGAATTTGTATTATAATTGTTTATTAATTGATAGTTATTGGACTTAAGTTAACTATTTGTGTCTTCATTAGAAATAAAAGAATGATGTTGTATTTAAATGTTATTAGAAATACTTTTTTTTTTATTATGTACAGAGTGATTCTTTTACAGTAGCTACTCACTCAGTTTCTCTTAAAATAATATTTTTTTTTCAGGTTTTGTTATTTATTTAATTAAAATTAAAACTATATTAATAATATTTTTAATATAGTTTTAATTTTATCGGATTAATTAGTCACAAGTGATCAAATTTTATTATATATCTGTTACTTACGTATGTATCTCTATTTATCTGTTATAAATATTGTTTATATTCATCCCTTATATCTTAAGGGTGCCAACTTTAATTTCTTAAATGGTAACATCTCTAGTTAACTAGCTTATTTAATAGATAATGATATACTTAGGAAAATGACTTGTCAATAACAACTTTTGGACCAATTTTTCGGAATCTATTAACAATTTAAAGTAATGATTGGAGATAAATAGCGGATGCTGCTATTTTTATAACTAAACATTTTCCGACCGTACTCTTCACCCGCCAAGGTATAAATATGTTAACAACTTCTAAAATACTGGTACAAAAGCTGTTATCGACCAGTCGTTATCTTAATTAGCTCATTTTCTATTTTATAAGCTTGTTAAATATGTATGTTTTTATTTAATAAAATAAAGTTGACACCCTTATAAGACATAAGGGATGAATATAAAAAATACTTTATAACAGAATATAGAGATACATAAGTTACTAAAAAAACCTCAAATATATATATATATATTATTTTAAGAGATATTGAGTAGCTACTGTTAAAATAATCACCTTGTATACATTTCATTATTTGANATATTGAGTAGCTACTGTTAAAATAATCACCTTGTATACATTTCATTATTTGATTATATAGAATATATACAAAAAGCACAATATGTAAAACTGCTGAAGTTTATGAAAGTTATATGAATAGCATAATTGATAACTTAAGTTAGAACCCCTTATGATCATAGTAAAGTATTACATGTTAGTTTTAATAAATAAATAAATTATTGTATTTTTAATTTTTCCCTCGGTTGATTAGTAGTAAACCTCTACACCAGGTATGAGTGTTTTTAGTAATATTATAAACATTTTCCGTATTGTTTTTATGATATATAGTTAGAATTTATATTTCTTAAAAAAAAATTATTTTTATATTAAAAGACATAATGTCTACTGCTAACTTAACATAAATTAAAAAGCTATTTTTTTTAAGTAACTAAAAACTCAACTGAATTTATTTTTAAATCTTACTACCTTATAACTTACCTTAATTTTTTAAAATCTAACTTAACTTAAAAATTAAAAAAATGATTTTCTTGCTCAGCCTTAAATTTTTGTCAATACTTTTTCTACTTCTATAAAAGCTGTTTTAAACTTGTGAGTATGTTCATTTTCACTTATTTTTAAAACTTCTGATATGTGTGTATAAGTATGCTAAATTTGATATGTGCATGTATCAGAAATGAACTCATTTTAAAATATATGAGAAATTTAACCCTTTTATTAAACATACTTTATTTGAAAATTGATCAATTTTAATAATATTATCAACACAATGTTTTTTTTACGCTTAATAACTCTATAGCTATTTTGAAAATATGTCGGTCTTACATTATCAATAGTTTAGCAGTACTCACTATGCTTTTTGAAAAGGTTAATCTAGTGTCATATGCACTTTAAATCATGCAAAATATTATAGTCACTCGGCAAATACGACAAAAAATGATATATTTGTTTATATTGATAATGAAAATTTTATAGAATAAACTTTTATTTTAATAAATTAATAAGATTGGATAAGCTTTACATATTATTTCTTTACATCGAACCACTCATATATTAAGTAAAAAAATAATATAGTTATTTGCTATAAAAATCTACCATTGCACAAAATAAGTAAAATTTACTTAGAATAATATTCTTTAACAATCACCTACAAAATTTAAAAGAATAATGTTATCATAAAACTAAATAAAAAATTAAACTATAACTATTATATATAATTATAATAATGTATTCAGATATAATATTTGTTATAAATAATAGTATATTTAAATTAAAAAAAATACAGATTTATAGATTGTTCTCGAAACAAAAAATACAGAGAAAAAAGTTTGACACAAGAATAACAAAATAAACGTTCTACAAATAGATCACAACCTTTAAGAACTTAAAAAATATACATAAAACAATATATTAATACTTAACAATGATATTGTAAGTTGTCTTTGGCATTAGCATTATCGTATTAGAGTACAATTATTTTTTTCAGTTTAAAAATAATAAAATTTAAAAATATTACAATTAAATGTTAAATCTTAATTTTGGTATTGACGGACGTATACTGATGTAAGTATATATATTTTTAAATCAGTCGATTAGGTACATATTTATATTATATAATAGTGAATAAGTAGTAAATAATTCAGTTTGCAATGAGAAATGAATTGCCTTTATATTTGTACACCATCAAATATAGAGAACAAGTGTCAATACATTACAAAATCTCATCGTATTGTTTACACAACAGTTATTATTCAGGACGATATTTTTGAGCGTATATAGACCACATAGTAGTAGTTAATAATACACATAATACTTGCTGTTAATATAAGTTAGCAAATATAAAATACTTTTCATACAAAAATATATATTTTAATAAACATTTCAACTGTTGTGCCGAGATTACTGGTACTCTTTAGCACAGGGATTTTGATTCCAAGATACTTCAGTGTGCATTGGCTGTGGTAGTCTATTATGCGTATGTGGAGCTCTCATAATCTCTTCGGTGGTTTGCACATGATTTCTAGGTCCTGACTCAGGCGTATACGTAAATGTCAGACCAGTAGCATATATAATACCATCATTTCTCACTAGAGACACAGGCACTTGGGTGGGTTGTCGTACCCATAGCCAGTCTCCCCTAAACGACGAAATGTCAGGTACAACAGCTAGCATACTTTCTTGGCATCTGTACATCGTCTCAGATTCGACATCACCGAACCACACTTGAAGATGTGGAGTAAAGTTTTCGCCAGTCAATTCCAACATGGCCACATCACCACCTCCATTTAAATTTAGACTGTGCACCATTGGAACCGGTGTGATAGGTGAATTGACGGGTCCCATACCCTCATAAAATTGGTATTCAGCCTTATCAGTGCTAATGATTGTCCAACAAGCGCCATCATTGATCATCTCTTTGTTGGGTTCTTTCGGACATGGTGTCGCCTGAAACTGAATGATACGTTCCTGAGATAAGCACAGGTACATATGTTCTGTGTCTTTCATATAGAACGCGCATTTATGTAATTGTGAAACAGGGTCATCTGCTTCAAGTAGGGCCATCTGTTTGTCTACTTTTCTGATCACAAGTCGAGGTAATGCCATACCGGTAACGCTACACACCAACTTAACTGTGCTACCATAATGCACATATCCGTCTCGAACATTGAACTCTTCGCTCTCACTTTCGTCATCGTCTAGTAGGTGAATAGTAAATGCACCCCATTGAGTAGAACTGGCATGAAAATTTCCTTTTTCTACGTGTAAATACCTCGTACTAACCGTCTGCGACCTGAGTCTATTAAATAACGCTACTTTGGTACCACTAGCAATACATAAATCTGCGTTTTTTAACGACTGCTTCTTTTTGGATGGTTTTGATATCACTTTAATGCGTTTACTATGGAATGTACCAATGTCGTAGCCAACATTATAAAACATCCTTACCATGAGCATAAAGTGTTTTCGTTTGTCTGAATCTGAGATGAATAGTGTTTTAGCTGCACAGTATTGCTTGCCATTATTAAGATCAAGCGGCTGTAACTCTTGGTCAGTGCTTCCAATACCGATGAATGCACTCATCTGTGAGTTACCTTCAGAAACACCTTCCCTGAGGAGTTGCTCTTGCCTAAGTCTCCAGCCATCTCCGAATAGATATATACACGGTGGTGGACAGAAAAATCGCTTTTCGTTACCATACGATTTTTGAGCAACTTTAGCATGCAGAATAACCAACACCAAATCATTGCGATCTCGAAGATATCTTTCCATCGCATCTCGGGTCAGTCTCTGCTCGGGTCGAAACTGCATGGGTGCCTCGGGGCCGTAATTGTGAGGCATCCTAGCTGGAAGACCTAACAGCTCAGCCGAGTTGTAACAACTTAATGTGCCAACTACTTCCCCGTCTTCTGTCTCACCATCTTTCTCCGATTTTAACGTCCAGGTTCCCATAAATCTAAACATAGTAAAATATAGTATAATTTAATATTATATTGATTTGTATAAACTTTAAAATATTCAATTATTTTAAGATAATATTGATATACTTGTGAAATTTTAAGTCATATAATTATAACTATCATTCATGATGAGAAAAAAATGTTAATTTCATCTGTTAAAAATAACATAAATATTTTTTTTAAATAAATAGAATAAAATTGTCTGTATAATTATAATAAAAAATATATTATAAAAAAATTAATGTATAACCACAGTCTGTATATAGATCAAGTATGCACTAAATCATTAGTATAAAGTGTTTTCATGATAAACAATTTATCTTTAAGCTATAAAATATATTTATTTACAAAGCATATACGCAAGTGGTTCAAAAAATTTTAAATTTGATGTCCTATCGAAGTTTAAAAAACATGTTGAATTTATATTCCGTCTTACTACTTTTGTTCAACTAACGGATTAAAATTATATTGAAGATTTGATTAAAAAATTTGTTTATTTTAGCTTAATACTTAATACTTGAACCTAACTGAACATTCCGTATTTTAATTTCGAATAATTTTCTATATAACTTCTGTTGTAATTATAGAAACTAGTGAAATTAGTAACACAGTAATGACCAATAAATTTCAATGATTATTAATTGAATTAACAAATTAAACAATATTGTAACATCAAGAAACATTAATTATATGTACTTATTGCCTAAAAATATAGGCATTTTCATTAGTTGAGATATTGAATTATTCTAATCCTTAGCGATAGTTACAAAGAAAATTGTATTGTGTATTAAGTACATAAAAATGTGTCCAGAAAAAACAGGAATGATGATTAATTTATTTGTAAGTTAGTTATAGCTGATGTTTTTCACATCTGAGTTCTAAAATAATGTAATGTACATTTAATGGTTAATTTTTCGTCTGGGCCTGACATAGATAGTGAACGAATACACTGTTGATCATTGTTGTATAGGGTGCAAAAATCAATTTATTTTCCCTCTGTCCCGTATTTTGAAACGTACCTACTACCCTCCAATTCACAAACTAGTAAATACAGCAAAATAACCTCTCTTTTGAAGTGCTACCCCTATGGTTGTAAAAAAAATAATTACGATCTTCTTACAATAAATTTGAACAATTATTATAAATACTTTATACTAAGACTAATACTTCAGTATTTTTATAAGTAATTAACAATCAAATTAAAATGTTATATAAAATAAATAAAAATAATTTTATATATTGCTACTATAAGAGTAATTTAATATATTTTATACTATTTAATGGACTTAAATATGAGCTCGAAAGCCTTTAAAAAATATTTAAGAGTTGAAATTATGAATAACTAATTAAAACCTTTTGAAAATTAAGTTCAAGATATTAAAAAATAATAAATAATCAAATTAAATAAAATAAAGGCAAAAGATCAAATTTTAAGTCGCATTAAGATGGTCTTGACAATTAGCTAGTCCTGCGCTTGATTATTATCAATAAGAATTATTGTATACTTAAAATTTAATAATAATGTGAAACAACCAATACCTTACGAATATGGTGAACAGATAATTGCCATTCAATGACCGCGACTATCGATTTTGAGTACAAGACCCCTAACTGCTTATTAGTTTATATTTTTCTATGTAGATATTTTTAAAAAGATACTTAATTTTTACAATTTATAGTTGTGATGATAATTGTGTAAATTAGTACGCTATAACTAGGTAAGTTAAATTAATTAATGATCAATTAAAAACACTTAATATCTCATATTAAATATCTTATATAGTCTTAAGTATTAAATACTATGGATAGAATATTAAAATACCATTATTATATTAATTTAATTTTAATAAATTGATTAATACAAACACAATTTTTTAGTTTTAAATTAATGTTTTTAATATAGTTTTAATTTTAAACAATGGCTTTTAATCAAACAATTTCTTATGTTAGAGTTAACACAACTCTTTAGTTTATAAAGTTGTATGAATTTATCAGTCATAATATTATAGCTGACAAGTGTACAAAATTTAATAAACATAAGTATATAAAAATGTGTATACAACGTAAAAATTTTTAGCTTTGAATAATAATAATAAATTTATTTTCATAAAAATTCTTTTAAGGTAAAAAGGTTATTCTAATATAAGAGTTTTGTTTTTAATTAGGCAAATCAATAAAAAATCGTAAGTGATAATAATATTTCTAAGACAAACTGTAAATTTCAAATTTAAATTTAAAAAAAACGATTATTTAAAGAGATCAAAGCAAAATATCAAATAAGATGCTTAAAAACTGAGCTTGGACTTCTTGGAAGATTAAATGATTAATTTTATTAGTGTTATCCATTAAATATTAATAAAGTATCAATATTAAAATTTGAAAGTTTAACTTACTAATATATTAAAATATTAAATTAGAACTTTAAATCTTCTATAAAATATCTTAAACTAAAAAATATATAATTGGACAATTTACCTCAAGTTTATAGACAATTTTGATAGAATTAATCAAAAAAAAAACAATGTATTTGACTCCTTAGAAAAAAAAAACATGAACATTGAAATGAATTCAAACACGTGCGTTCGGTTCGGACCGGTCCGATAAGATCGTCGATTATGCGCGTGAGACAGTCGTAATACAGACGGAACGACTGAGCTCAGTGGCAGTTCAGTGCGGCAAGTATTACCCTGTGCGGAAATCGGACGGTCCCGCGTGCGAAACGGACGAGGAGAAGGTGAACAAGAACAAGACTTGATGATTATGACTAGAGCAACGGTGAGGGGTTTAGAGGGACTCATGAGGCGGTGGTAACGATAGACCAATGGGATCCGTGGGAACATTCCACACTTGTGTGGATGGGGCCTACTTCGATAGATCGGCTGTAAAGTGACGTGGCCCTGGTCGGTGTGCAGGGGCCGACGCCAATGTTGATGCGCTCTCTGGTGTGTGTATAGTCATCACTGCCGTCATCGTCGCATGTAACCATTCATGCCTGGAAACGGCGGTGGCGTTGGTCCGTCGACGGTGGCGTCGATAGGGTACTCCGCGTAAAGGGGGAGGGAAGTGCGAGAGACGGAAGATTTCAAGGCGAACTCGCCGGTTCCCACGGTCGGTCGGTGTGGTATATAATAATAATAATAATAATAATAATATTATACTATACGTATACTGCAAGACTGTGGGAACCTACAGCAGCTAAGGCGGCCGGCTACCGTCTTCCAATATGTGCAGTTATATATGTATCTAACAACGGTTTCTTCTTTACTACAATTTGCTGATGTTACTATTAAATCAGCAGATACTATTGCTTTTTATATGTTCTTCCTATTGGATTTTAATATGATAAATATTTTTTAATGTTTAAAAATCTTAGACATCAATATCACATACAAAAAAAAAAAAAATGATATATGAAATTAATAGTCAGAATGGGAAAAATTTAATGCCTGTTAATTGAGTTATACTATCCTCCTAACGTATCTAATATGAGATACCAATAACATAATCAATTATTCCTCAGAAAACATTAAATGATACGATTGTAATTTATTTTCATACATAATATTTTCTTGATAAAGAAAAAAAATTGTTTAATCAATAACTTTAATTATTCTCAATATTTTTTTATAATGTCGAAAATTTGTTCAATTTTTCTTTTTTCATATTTAATATCAATTACTATTTCAAAATTATACGTAATTCTTTATTAACTATTAATTTGAACGAGAGTAAAACTTTTAAATACATGTATTATATGTTATAATTATTATAGTATAGAGGCCAATGCCCTCGCATGTAAATTCTCTCACTAGATTTTTCATTCAGTAATTATTCTAAGCTAAAAATCCGTAAGTTCTTCTGACGACATTGCATTATTAAAGGTTTGATATTTAATTTAATTAATTTCTACACTTGACAAAAGTATTGTGTAGTTCTTGTAGTATACACCTGACATCCGGCGGTGGCTAAATATTACAATAGTAGTAATGTAAACACTAAGCTACTTGCTTTGTTGCTTAATAAAATGAAAATTACTCTTAATCGTACACAACTATATATAGTTCAACAGTAAGTAGTTGAAGGATAATGAGTATACCACAATAATATCATTTAATTCGAATTTTAGTGATTCACATTATAAGATCTTCTTCTTTTGTCTACGTTTATTAAAAACATTGCGAAATAATTTTTAAATCTGAATGAAATGCTACCTCTTAAATAATAACCACCATTAAATATGATAGTGTATAGTTAAAAAAAATAAACATATTAGATTATACGTAATCAATTCATTACTGCATAATAACTGTGTAGGTACTGAAATAAGATATGTTATCATTTGTTCAAATTATTATGTATAATTATTGTTTATGATACTTCTGAAATAATTATTTGACATGATGAAAATAAATTAAATATATATATATACCCTACAGAATTCACCCTTTTGAGTAAACTACTAATTTTCTTAACTAACTATTAAACATTTTTTTATTTTTATAAAGAGGAAAATTATTTAGTTCAATAAACTACAATATTATGGCATCAAATAATTTTTTTTGTATCTTCAGAGATAAAAAATCTTAAATTTTATTTTGAGATAGGAATCTCTATTTTTAATTTGATAATATGATAGAAAAAATGTATAAATAATATTATTCTTACAGTTTTTTTTTATTTGATCAACAGTTTTCACTTAATGATTATTAAAAAATTTAGATAAAAAGTAAAAGTTTATCATTCATTTGGTTTTCTAAATACCGAATACTGAAAAAAACAATAAGCTGTTTCAAAAGGCCATAAATTATTTTTCATCATAGTTATCAATTAAAATGTTAGACACTGGTGAACGACAATGAACGATGGTAAACTTAACTAGTTTATGTGGCTAAATGGAAAAATGAAGACTTATGATATTAAATAAAATAACATTAGCAAATTGAAATCAAATTACTAAATTTCATCATTCAGTAACAAATGAACGATTGAATAGATATTAAAAATTTATCTCAATAAATTTTGATAATTATTATTTATCAATATATAGATATAAATTATGATGATTTATTTGTCAATAATTTAAATTATCAAGATAATTGTTTAATCTAAAATTATTACTTTAATCATAAATAAATATACAGGGTGTTCAGTAAGTCAGGAAACGGGTTTCTATTGTTCTCATTGTTTGTAACAATGAGAACAATAGAAACCCGTTTCCTGACTTAATGAACACCCTGTATAATAGAATTTATATAGATTATTGTTATATTTTTAAATCGTCGAGATATCATAAAAGGTAACCTAACAATTATTGTAATAAAAAAAATTATATTATTTTATTGTAAATAATTTTCTACTTCTATAGCTAACGTCTAAAAAAATTGATGTGCTTGATGTAAAACTTTTCAGAAAATAATGTAAAATTATACATTTTCAAAAGTTAAGTTGTAAAAGTTATATGTTCGTATGTTATATAAAACGGTTATATGTTTCAAGCTTTGCACCCCCCTTGTATAAATAAAACTGTTTTAAAAAAGAAGTATGTCAGATAAAAGAGGTATATATAAAGTATTTATAAAAAAAATTATTTTGATTCATACATTTTTCAAGCAGTTATTCAATATATGTCGACAAAATAAAATATGATATCGAAATTTTTAACACGAAAATAGTATAAATATTATCTACGGCTACAAATTGCACTTAAAAGATAAGGTGTCGGAACAAATTTTTTTTTAACTTATATTACGTAACACAAGCTTTAATTTAACATATGTTTAATACATGTAGTACTTTTGCTAACGTAGTAAAGTTAAAATCTAACCTAATGTTAGCTTCGATGCTAAGCTGAGAAGGTATTAATTTTACTATGATGTGTTTTATTTTTTTTTTTATGTCTGTTGCCACTTTTTCTCAGCTCTCGCTGGACCGTTTTCTTTCAAAAATACGTCAAAAATCACAAATCGTATCTAGTTGAAGACATTACCCTTAAAAATTGAAAAAAATTCCCTCGTTCTCCGCAAATGGGGGAAATATCCAAAAAAATTACAAATTTAAAAATTGGTAAATTTTGTCATTTTTTTCACTTTTTTTTCTTAAAACTTCCATAACTTTTTGAAAAATCAACATAATTTTTTTTTATACTAAAACCTTAAATATTTACCTTTTATTTGATATCATTTTTTTGAAAATCTATCACTTAACCTGCTCATTGGGAGGGATTTAAAATAGCAACTTTTTTACAAAAATTAACTTTTTCAACTTAATTTTTGAAAATGTTCCGGAAATACTGCGTCCTTTAAACATATATCAAATTAAAGCTTATTTTATGTACTATAAAATAAAAAAAAAAATTTGTCCCGACGACCTATCTTCTATGCGCAAATGGCTACCGTATTTAAAAATATGCTATTTTAACAAATTTTTTTTTTTTCAATTAAACACTATCTACAGATTTCCATCGAAGCGTTTTTTATGATAGTGATTTTAATCACTGTCAGATATCATCTATACTGGACCCAACTATGCCACGACCCCACTGTGCCGCCACCCCACTGTGCTGGGTTGTATTTTTATTAAAATTACTATCAAAAAAAAACGCTTCGATGCAAATCTTTAGATAGTGTTTAATTTTAAAAAATTGGTGGATTATTCCAAAAGCTTCATAAACTGCTAGAACCTTATTAATATCCAGATTAAGATAAAGTATGTCGAATGAAAAAGGGATTATTAAAAAATAGTATTTCCCATAAAAAAATTAGATTGATCAATACACTTTTCAATAAGTTATAGCATTATAATGTTAAAAATGTAAAAAATAAAATTGAGAATTTTCACACAATAATAGCATTTGGTAGCCATTTTCACCTTGAAGATAAAATAAAGTCNATTCACCGTAAAGACAAAATGAAGTCCGAAATTTTTACATAATAAAGTAGATTACATTAGCTTTAATTTAATATATATAGAAAAGTGTCAGACTTTCCGGAACACTTTCAAAATTTAAGTTGAAAAAGTCAATTTTTTGTGAAAAAGTTGTCATTTTGAATCCCCCCCTGTAGGCAGGTAAAAAGTCAGATTTATAAAAAAAATATACCAAATGATAGGTAAAGACATCATGCATCTACAAAAAAAAGAATTATATTGATCCATACATCTTTCGAGAAGTTATAGCATTATAAAGTTAAAAATATAAAAAAGAATTTTTTTACAAAAATCGTATTTTTTTTATTAAGTTTAATGTCTGTTTTCACCATGAAGATAAAATAAAGTCCGAAATTTTTTTTTACCATTATAAAGTATATTACATTAGCTTTAATTTAAGATATATATAAAAGTGTCAGACCTTCCGGAACACTTTCAAAAGTTACGTTGAAAAAGTTCTACTTTCTATATGCATTTTTATGTTTTGAATCCCCCCTGTATTTAGGGAAATGGTCCGATTTAAAAAAACAGTATGTCGAATGAAAGATCTATATAAATACTACTTCTAATGAAAAAATTGTATTGATCCATACATTTTTCAAAAAGTCATAGCATAATAAAGTTAAAAATGGAAAATACAAAATCGAAAATTTTCACACAAAAATAGCATTCGGTAGCCATTTTCACCATGAAGATAAGATAAAGTCCGAAATTTTTTTTTTTCATGATAAAGCATATTACATTAGCTTTAATTTAAGATATATATAAAAGTGTCAGACCTTCCGGAACATTTTCAAAATTTAAGTTAAAAAAATTAATTTTTTGTGAAAAAGTTGTCATTTTAAATCCCCCCCTGTGTTCAGTTAAAGGATCAGATATAACAAAAAAATATACCAAATGAAAGGTAATGATATCATGCATCTATTAAAA